ATGAGGCTCCCCCCCCCCAGCATCAGGGAGCCCATGCTAGGGCTCTAGCCCTGTGGCCCCACTGCAGCCCTCCCCTGTGGAGCTGAAGCGTGGGTGGGAGCCAGGCAAGCGGGGACCGGATCCAATAGGAGCAGCAGGGGGCAGTATTTGGGAGCGGCAGGGAACACAGAGCGGGTACACGGAGCCATGGTCATCGCCGGGGGCTGTGCCAAGTAAGTGCCCCCCCTCATTGCCCAGACTCCACCCCCCCCAGCCCGCTCCTGCACCCTACCATCCTCCCAGATCCACCTACCCCCAACCCAGCCCTCCCATCCCAGCTCACCACTGCGCCCTTCCATCCTCACCTACCCCCAACCCTGCACCCCTCCCTCCCACCTGATTCCCAGCAGTCCCCTCCCACACACTGACCTCCTCATTTTGACCCCACCCAAGAGCCTAGGGGGCCAGCAAAATCTGTTAGCCTGGCCCCCCCAGGCTCTGGTGCGTGAGCGGAATGTGAGGAGTGGCCTTCTGCTTCTCAGCCCCCCCCCAATTTTCCTGTGGGTCAGTGGCTCCTGACCCCAAAAGGGTTCCCCACCCCTGGGTTAAACAATACTGACCTACCTGACATGGGGGGAAGGGCGTGAGCTCCCGTTTCTAAAGCGCTGAGACGCTCCAGTGGGAGGCGCTGTAGACCGGCCACAGCACAAGATCTCCTTATCCTAGGGTTTAGAGAACATCTCTCTGGCTAGTACAACTGCTGACACAGGATGCTGCAAAGGTGCCAGGGGACAGAGCCCTGCACATCCTTGGATTAGGGATGTAAAATCCTGTTTAACTGATTCACCGGTTAAACTTTATGTGTAACCAGTTAACCACGTAAAGGGGGGCAGGGAGCCACGAACAAAGGCTGCTCCGGCTGGCTGGTCGGAGCAGCGCCTGCCTGCAGTGGGGCTGAAACAACCCCCTGCTCACAGCCTGCTACAGACCCTGCTGGTTAACGAGTCACATCCCTGCCATGGATATCCACTCAGTATCTGCCGGTGTCTGCATGCACGGCTACCGATGCAGGTATCAGCAGCTCATTTCTGGGGAGGCAGATACCAATTCTGTATCTAGATCCCTGCAAATTTGCAGCTATCCACTTTGCATCTGCGAGTATCCGCATCCGTGGATGTGCATACCAGCAGCTCAGTTTTGTGGCGACAGATTCAAATTCCGTTCCCGCGCCGGGCTCTACCGGTGGGAGCCAGCGCATGGAGCTCCGGCACGGGCAAGTTCTAAACCCCTGCCAACAGGGGGCCATGGCAGACAGGCCAGCCGGGCTCACCTAGGCTATAAATTAAGCGAGCAGTAATAGAGCAGTCAAACCCCGGCCTCTGCAAGATGTACCACGCGGCGTTATTTACAGCCCTTGGGAAACGCAAAGGTTTGCAAGTATTTCCTTTTATGCGAAAACATTGATTGTAACAGCATGAGCCTGGAGCTGGAGGGCTCTCTCTGCACTAATAAAGCCAACGGAAAAAATACAGCCGGAGCTGTGGGCATCCTCCTAACAGGACAGATGCCTTTGCTGCCCGGCTGGCCTACGGGAGAGAGGCCGCTTCCGAGCGAGGAAGCTGGGGAAGAGAAACAGAGCTGCTCCGTCAGGGTGTGGGTGGCAGTGCAGGAGTTCCGACGTCGCATCTGTTTTTCAGAAAGTGAACTCTCCCTGCTCGTGGGAATCTGCAATTAGCTTTGCAGGGGCAGCTTCACCGTCTGCCGGTGCCTTTTTGCCCAGGGATCTTTCTAAATACTACGAGAAGTTCTGTGGCACCTTATAGACTAACAGATTTATCGGAGCATAAGCTTTCATGGGCAAAGATCCACCCCGTCAGATGCATGTAGTGGAAATTCCAGAGGCAGGTATAAATATACCCTGCCTCTGGAATTTTCACTACATGCATCTGACGAAGTGGGTCTTTGCCCACGAAAGCTTATGCTCCAATAAATTTAACAAAACATGTAGATGGTATCATGAGCTTTCGTGGGCACATCTCATGATACCATCTACACGTTTTGTTAGCCTATGAAGTGCTACCAGACCATTTGCTTGCTGTTTTTTTTCTGAAAGGGTATGTCATGCAGCAGTGAAACGGGCATTCGAAATAAAGCCCTAGTTCAAACTACCTGTTAAACCTCATTGCAGGAGGAATAACAGGTACTTTGAAATAGGGCTTTGTTTCGAACGCCCGTTTCACTGCCGCGTGTAGATGTAGGCAGTTATTCCGGGCTTGTAAATTTCAAAAAAGTGGCGCCCAGCTGGGAAGATGCAAATCAAGCACGGGATATTTAAATCCCGAGCTTGATTTGCAATTCCAAATGCCTACATTTGCAGCCCTATTCCGAAATAGGCTGCAAGTGTAGACATACCCTAACAGACTAACTCGGCTACCCCCTGAAGCTCCAATGAATCTGTTAGTCTAGAAGGTGCCACACGACTTCTCATTGTTTTGGCAGATTCAGACTAACACGGCTACCCCTCTGATACTTTCTAAATACTGACACCCCAAGCTGGGTGGGCAAGCGCGGTGCTGTGACAGCTACAAGGACCTGCCTTTGGAGATAATGCGGTGCGTAGATGTTGGCTTGGCAGCTCTTTCCCCTCCATGGTGGAATCTTCATACCCTGCTCTGCTGCCCATTTCACAGATGGGGGAACTGAGACTTGGAAACTGCCGGGAACTAATTTACCAGAGCGGTGCCTGGTTTGGAAGAGCAATAATTTGAGGCAAGTTGGGCATCTCCCCGCTCCCAATCAATATTCAGAACTTCAGATCAATCAAGCCCCTTTATGGTGTCCCTGACTGAGCCCCCCCAAAAACGGGGGCTTCCAAAATCTTTGGTCACATCTCACAGCCTTGGCCTAAACACTGGGAGGCTGACTCATCCATTTGGCCCACCAGAGCAAGCTGACGCAGAGCTCTGAGAAACACCAATTGATAATCAAGCTCAACTTCCTGCAGAGCCCAATGCGCCCCGCAGAAGAGAAAATGAATCTCACACATTTTTGAACAGGTGACCTTAAACACGGTCGTCCTCTGTGCTCTGCAGGGATGTTAAACTTCCCAGGGTCTTCTCGGGGAGAATCACGCTTTGCCTCCCTGCCCTGGTCCAAAATGTCCATCCCTTCCAACCCGTGGATGCTTTATCCCTCTCCCGCTCGTGGCTCCACCCCAGAGGTGGCTGCATGTCAGTGCGGTTTGTAGGCCCGCAGTTTGCAAAGTGCCTTGAGATCGTAGCAATGAAAGGCAGCCGTATAAATAGCAATTCCCACGCGTTAAAGCTGTGTCAGCTGAGGTTGGCTAAGTACAATCCCTACCCACACGATCCTTTCAAAACAAGGAAATGCCCAGGAAAGAGAAGCTTTTTTAAAGAGCCCACAGCACCCACGCATCCCTGCGAGCAACCATGGCAACAGGTGTCAAACAACACTCCCTCGTCTTATTAATTGAACAATGCCTGGTTCTCCCAGAGCGCAGTTCAGCCGGAGATCTCGAGGTAAGTACCATTGATAGAATCATTGTACTAGAGCGGGGGTGGGCAATAATTTTTTTTATAGGGGGCCACTTAAGAAATTTTTGAAGTGGCCCCGGGCTGCACCAGAAGGGGCGGAGCCTCAGGTGGAAGGGGCGGGGCCAGGACACTTCACTACCCACAGATCCTGACTGGTCTGGCGGTGGGGGAGCATGTGAAGTCTTTGCCCCCCACAAAAGTCCTCCCTAGGCACCCAGGCCTCTGATGGTGGGAGGAGACTTCACACGCTCCGCCTTCTGCCCACAGGCCAATCAGGGCTTAGAGGCAGAGGAGTGCGCAAAGTCTCCTTCCGCCTTGCCAGGAGCGCGTGAAGCTTCTAAGTGCCACGTGCTTCTTACTGGGCGGAGGAAACTTTACGCACTCCCCCGCCCCCACCCGATTGGACTGGGGGCGGAGGAGCAGCCGGCCTGCGGAGACCCTGATCAACCCGTTTGGCGGGCCAGATCCGACCCACAGAGGCCTTTTTACCCACCTCTGTACTAGAGGGCTAGGAAGAGATGTCAGGGGGAGGGATAGCTCAGTGATTTGAGCATTGGCCTGCTAAACCCAGGGTTGAGAGTTCAATCCTTGCAGAGGCCATTTAGGGATTGGGGGCAAAAATTTGTCAGGGATGGTAGTTGGTCCTGCTGTGAAGGCAGGCGGCTGGACTCGATGACCTTTCAAGGTCCCTTCCAGTTCTAGGAGATAGGCAATCTCCATTAATTTTAGGTCCAGGGGCTTGCACGGAGGAAGGATAAGTTACCCTGACAGATTGTCCGCCCTGTTCTTAAAAACCTACAGTGCCAGGGATCCTGGGACCCCTTTGGTCACCCGTTCCAGAGCCTGATCACCCTCAGAGTTAGGAAGTTTATCTTAATTACCAAACCTCAGTCTCCCTGCCACACATTGAGCCAACACCTTCTTGTCCTGCCCTCGGTGGACACGGAGAACAATCAGTCCCTGTCCTCTCGACAGCAATCTTTCACATATCTGACGACTGTTGCCACCCCCTCCTCCCACGGTCTCGCCTCTTCTCATTTCTGTTGCTCCTGGTTGCAAAGCCAGGAACTCACAGCTCTCCAGTGCCAGTGTAATCACCTCGCCGGAAAGCCATCCTGCTTCATTCGTTCGAATGCTCACTCCACGCTGCTCCAGGGGACTCGGGGCAGAAGGGGATGAATTCGGGCTCCTTCCCTCCGTGCCGAACCCTCTCCCGCTCATCTCTGCCCATCCTCTCCCCCCGCTCCCCCACATGGCTCACTTCCCCTGGGGCAGATGCTACCGTTTGGCGAGTGCCTGGAGATTTCCCTCGCGTGAGACATTTTCCTGCTCAGACAGCGCCTCCGGCGCGGCCCATTGTTCACCGCGGCGCTGCTCGATCAGCCGGCGGCGGAAGAAGCAGTTTTGCCCCAGCACAAGTTAGAGACGGAAACAAACCAGCAGATTTCCTTCCTGCAGCTCACGCTCCCAGCCCGGCTGGAGTTTGAAAACACCTCTTCAAAACCAGCCCCGGGCGCTGAAAGCACAGCTCGCTCTGGGACAGGGGCGCAGAGAAAGGAGCCAAGCCTGGGAAGGGGGGTGAAGCGGCTGGAGAAGGCAGCGCCCAAGACGGCAAACCCGCTCTGCCTTCCCTTCTTCTTCCAGACACTTTCCGAGCTCTCTCCGGAAGCCAGGAGCCTTGGCCCCACAATGTACCCCTGAGGGAGGAGGGCCTAGTGGTTAGATTGCTCTCCGAGGCAGCAGGAGACCAAAATTCAATTCTCCGCTCTGCTGCCGACGTCCTGCGTGAGCTTGGGCAAGTCACTTCAGGGGGAGCTCCGCGGCTCCCCAAGGGGTTGCAGAAAGGGTGTATATGGGGGGGGGGTCACAGGTCCGGTGTGGAGGTATCACACCCAGGTTGCAATGGCCAGAGCAGGGACCCAGGGTGATAGTACCTAGGGCTCTGGGTGGCTACTGCAGCTACACTGCTCCCTTTCTCCAGCTAGCTCAATAGGCAGTCCTGGGACTTTTGCGATGGCTACCAATACAACAATAGCAGAAGCCCCCCAGCACTTCTCTGACACGCTTAGCCCATGCTGCAGTCGCAACCCCCATCACCCTGTGCCTCAGTTTGCCCAGAGGCCCAATGGGAAATGGCGAGTCCCTCCATTGCAGGGCTGCCGGGAGGGCAACTAAAGATCGTGCTGTGCTCAGATGCCACGGGGACCAGGACCAGACAGAGCCCTTCGTACACAGACAGATCTCCCCAGGGAAGATGGAGCCAGCTGGGTGACGTGAGCCAAGTTCTCTGGTCACGGACGCTGATCCAGCCGCATGACTCTGCAGCGAAGCAGCCTTTGCTTTTATTGCCCCGAGTTAGCGCGGAAGGACTGGGCAGAAGCTGCTTTGTGCAAAGCCTTACAGGGGAGACTGAGAAGCGTGAACTAGACGTGGGGAGCAGGGAGAAGCCAGCACGCCCCGCGCTGTGGGCAAAGACGAGTCCAGTGAACACGTTTCTGATTTCCCCGTTCATCTATAGTATCCCACGCCTCTTGGCCCCACAACCCTGCAAGCCCCTTCCCAGCTCTAGGGCCGGGGCTTGGAATACGAGGCCCGGTGCAGCGTTTGCAGCTCTGGGGCGAGGGCAGCTTGCAGGGAGGGCGAACAGAAGGGCGGAGACAGCATCCCCGAATGCCACCCCCAGAGATCAAGCGACAGCAATGACCCGGCCCGTGGAGCACTGAGCCTCCAGCTTCAAAACCAGCCGTCTCTGGTGGATCCAGCCCAGAGGGAAAACTGGGCTTGCGTGGGGGAGGGAGAACTCAGGCTGGCAGTGTAGACCCGGCCTGAGTTTTCACCCTTTCACTGGGGAGGACTCACTGCGCAGGACACAAGCCATTTTCACCCTTAACCAACACGGCACGTGGGAACCGCTGCACATCCAGTGACAGCTTCACAACCCTGGTCCTTCAGCCCCCCCCGC